CCGGGCGCTGCTGCAGGCCGGGGTGGGTTGCGCTGGGAGCTGCCGTCCCTCCCCGGGCCTGCCGGGGTTCGGAGGGCCGCCTGGCCCGGCCCGGCTCCGTGGGCTCCGGCCCCGGGCCGCCGGCGCCTCAGAGAGGTGCCCGAGGCCCCTCGGGCCTGTCTCGCCGGCGGTGCCTCCGGCCTGGGACCGGGCTCCGCTGCGCTCCTGCTTTATCGGTGTTTTAAACAAAATCGGTTGTTTTCGTACGGCTCTTTTCCCTGCGAGGTGGCTGGCGGGTTGCCGTGGCGTGTGTGTGTGTGTGGGGGGGGTGTGTGTGTGTCTGCCTGCGCTCAACACAGAGATACAGAAGGACTCGGAAGCCAAAATAATGTTTGAGAATGGGTTGTACAGGAGAAAACCATTCTTTGTGACCCTGATGGTTAAAAGGCGGTTTATGACAAGGATAACAAACCATCTGATGTTGGGTGGATTTTCCCAAGGTGTAAGCAGTCTAAATTGCGCTTGCCTTTTGTCTGTAATTCCTCCTTGTGGCCTGTAGTGTATTATCTACTTGCCGTACGGCCCCTGCTCTTCCAGGAGTTTTATTGTAAGCTTTGTTATATAGAAAAGCTTTAAAAATCAATAACAAATCACAGCGAAGGCATTATTCTTCCTGTTTGATGGAGGTTTCCCTTTTAGAAACGTGCTCTAGGTTTCTGGCTCCTTTCTGGCTCACCTATATAAGGGTCACCTACATAATTGTCTGTTCCTGTGTGTCCTGAGCCATTAGCAGCTTCAGTAATGTTTTGGAGAGGACTAGTGGTGTTTCTGGGTGACCAGGGCAGTTTGGTTCAGTAGCAGTTACACAAGTACTCTGGAGATATGGAAGGAATGTTGCTCAAAATGTTTGTGTTCATGTAAAAGCGCGATTAAAATATTCTTGGCTTGACATTCTCCCCACAACCCCCCCTTTTTTGTTAACTGGGGATTTCTTCGGTTTCTTTAGTAAATATGAACCATAACATTTAGTAGGCTGAATTCACCTGTCGGTAACTATTTGAACAAAATTTTAATTGACTGTGTACAACAGCTTCTGTCAGACTGTATTAGTTGGCTGGGTCTGTACCCAAAGGTAAGACCTGAATGCCTGGAGAATCATTTGCACGTTCTATAAACTGTGTCTCCTGACTCGCCGTAGGAGAAGGCAGTGTTGAACTGCAGCCCAGGCCACGTTCTGGCTGCCAGTGTATGTTGTCATCAGTAGTTCAGGCTCTGTATGGTGATACATACTTGTTGCTCTGCAGAGAAGTAAACAGTAATGATGTAATTTAATTTAAAATAATAATAATCCAAATTCCATACTGCGTTCTAACTAAAGTTATTGAAACTTAAATGGGAGTAGGTCCTTGAAATGAAATACATGGTATGAAAGTCCAGACTGTAATTTACAGAGTAAAATGTTCCTCTGAAGACTGGCTTGCTTATTAAAGCAGAGCCAGAGAGGCATTTCCCTTAAAAGAGACAGTGATCTTAAATCAGTTGTCTTGCTAAATATTATCTTGTCCCATCATTATGCTGGTGTATCAATGCTACTTAAAAAAAAAAGTGATAATAAAAAAGCTGTTAAATAGGTCACTTCTTATTCACAACAGCTGGATACATGGTTGTATTTCATTGTCTCTGCTATTACCCCATGTCCTGGTTGTGTGTGTTGAAGCTGGGCTGGTGGGTAATCTGTGAGCACTACTTGATTTTTAACTCATCTTTTCAAAGCTTTAAGAAACGTTGGTAAATTTACTACGTTTTGTTTCTAGAGGATGCAGCTTCTTGGTGATTACAACTTTGTCTGCAAGCTGTTTTCATGATCTGGAATTACTGGCTGCCTGCTGCACACCAACAGCTGTAAAGCTCAGAACTGTGCTCCTGGGTAACATATTGATGCTGTTGTTGCCGATGGAGAGAAACAGGACTTGGTAGTTCACTTGGTGGCAGATTATTCAGAAGAAAAACTTTCCAGGGATCTGGATCATTTTTACCATGGACTCCTCGTCTGTCCAGCAGGACGTTCACGTGGAGAACAGAAACAGTAATGGGGCCCCTACCAGCTCTGAAGAACTTCTGGATTGTAAGGCCAAGTCAGATTTGCCAGTTACAACAGATGAAATTAACAGTAAGTTACTTTGTATGCGCCAAATAATTTCCTAGTCTTACCCAGGCTTCTCGACAGCTGCTTATTTTGATATTCAGGTGATGCTGAAGGAATTTCTTGTACGGCAGTTTTAAGCAACTTTGGTAAAGGCTATGGCTCTGTGTATGGGAAAACGGTTTTGTTTTAAAACTTAATGCTTTCAAAACAAAATCAAACTATTAATTTAAGTATTACCTGCTATCAGTTGAGTATGTGCTGCTCAGGGTGTGTTACTCTCTATTCTGATTGTGTTTCCTTGAGGATGTACCTGAAATCCACTAGAACTAATAGTTCTGAAATGATTGTTGTGGAGTAAGCTCATGACTGAAATACTTTATTCTGGCAAAAGCAATTTTCCTAGTAAATTAAACCAATTAGGCAAAAATCAAAATGTACTCAAAAAGTCTCTCTGAACTTCCATTTATGGGAGAGAGATGCTGGCACATACTCCCCAAATTATCTCAAAATAACTTTTATTTGTAGACAAGCTCTGTAACAGAATAATTGTGCAGCTGCTTACAAGAAACTTAAGGGCACTGTTCTGAGTAGATTAGAGAATCAAATTTAGGTTGGAAGGGACCTCTGTGGATCATCTAGGCCAACTTCATGCACAGGGCAGACCTAGCTTTGAAGCTAGATCAGGTTGCTCAGGGCCTTATGCTGTTGAAGTCTGAATATCTCCAGAGAGGGAGGTTCAATGGCCTCTGTACCCATTCCAGTATTTAACTGCTTGCTTTGTGAAAATCTTTTCCTTGTATTGAAGTGAAATCCCCATGTTTCCGCCACAGGTATCTAAGGATATGTTGGTACATAAGGATATGGTGGTAGATGGGTGGAGCGGGTGTGCCTGTTGCGGCTGCGTAGATACACAAAAGTATACAGGTTCCTTGTGTAAAAGGAGGTGACCATGTGATGAAGTTGTTAGCCTTCCGCCCACCTCTTATACTGCAGATTTGTCATCTTGTCACGGGCGAGAAAGTGGAGCCCTGAGACTTTATTTGCATTTCTGACGCTGCCAGTTAGCAGATGGGCAGAGAGTAGTTATATGATGATTCATTGATCTTTTATGAAGCTGGAGATCACCCGTTCCTGTCTTCTGCTGTGGTGGACATTGTCCAAACAATTGAGTTGTGGCTTACAAATAGGTGGTATGTCTTTCTGCTGTTTTCAATCTAATGGCCTCTCCCCTTCCCCTGTTCTAAAAAGACCACAGTTGTATTGACACTACTGCAATTAAATTACTTTAGTTCAAGGCCGTGTTTAGATTCTGAGTGTCTCATGGCTTCAGGAAGTTGCCAGGAAACCATTCCTCCAGAATATTGCTCCAGTGTCTCTTTTGTGTATGTAACCTCTTACAGTTGTGAAGATAAAAATGTAAATAAAGTATAAACCTGACACATATTTCTGAATGTGAGAGGTATCTTCTTGTTTTCTTGTGGCTATTCTTAGCACTAACTTCTCTTTTAAGTATAGTTTTGACAGTCTTTTAGTTTTAAAATGCCTTAAACTCTCACTTAGGTTGGTTAGTCAGTAAAAAGCCAGTCCTGTCCTCTGTCCTCTTTTGCATCCTTGTTGTACCCATCCCTACCGGTGTGCCTGCAAGTGTTTCTGTGACCATATGGTGAACTAAATCAGGGAACTCATTCAGGCTAAAAAGGCCTGAAAGTCTTCTCTGCATGACAAATAAGATACTGAAAAGTGTTTTAATTCAAATCTTAGAGAGCTGATGGGGCTTGGCAACTTAAGGCTGAAAACTTCTTATTTTCACCCATATTCAAGTTTCCTTCTTCAGTTTCCTCTGAGCTGGTTCACCCTACAAACATCTGTGCTGGCTTAAGGGAGGATGTGCCACAGAGGTGGGAACAAGTGGTTAGGGGTGGAAATCTATCTTTTCCTCTTTAAATTACTCTGAAGTGAAATTTGACTGCACTTAAAAGGAATCCTTTTGCTTTCTTCAATTACAAAAGGGAAAACAATTAAGAAGTCCTATCTTCCTACCTGTAACTTTTTCCATATGGCTTATTTAATTTCAGGATAAGCTTTAATGTTCACCACATACGTAAACGATAATAGCTTTAGTTTTTAATTGTTTTGCTTCCAGAAGTTTGTAATCATTCATTGGGGGGGTGGGGGGTGGTTTAATAGCAATATGTTAATGGAGTGGTCTAAATCAATAATTAAAGTTTTATTGAGTCGTTGTAATCAACTTCCTGGCTGCAGAATATTTCTGCATATGAATCTTAGAAATACTTAATTTTTGGAGGACCTGTTTCTCCATTCTGGTTTGTTTGTTGGTTTTTTTTCTTTCCCCCCACATCATGTTTGAGCAGACTTTAAAAAACCCCTAATGCTTATTCTGTCTATAGCTCTGAGAAGAGGAAAATACAGAAAGAGGAAACTTGATTTTTCCACTTGCAAATACTATGTGATCATAAATGTTTGGATTATTTTTTTCATAAAGATGTTGAAAATATTTATGAAATATAACATATTGTTCCAATTGTTGAACTGTTTTTGGAGTTGCATTTTCCTGATGGAAAAGAAAAATCAAATATTAGTGAGTGGGGGTAAAATTGGTATTAAAGTGGTTCTTGAATTGCCTTTTGATTGGTAGATTTATTCTATTGATACATCTGAGCTTTGCTACTGTACTTTTGATGAAGACATCCTCTTTGAAAAAAATTATACTCGGTTTAAAATTGAGAAACTCTGCTTGGCCCAGGCTGGCAGTGGGGCGGTGGATGCTGTCTCCCCAGTGCCCAACAGCATACCAAGTAGCTGAATCATTCAGCACAGGCCTGCAGTCACTCAGTCTTGTTTGTAGTAGGTTGCCACTCAGTGTGACACAGATCGCATTGCTTATGTTTGGTGTTTCATGCTTCTAAACCTAATAAGGCTTAAAAACCTGTGTGAAGTTTTGGAGATATTTTATGATCACTTTTGAGGTTCTGCTTGAAGGCGCTGTAGTAAAGCAAAGAAAGGTACTTATTCTGGTCTTTTTAAATGAAGAATCAAAAGTCCTTTATAAAATTCCTTCTGCCAGTTGCTGTCATTAGCAATTTCTGTATTCCTACAGCCTAAAGACAGTAGTGGTAGTGTTGTATTTGGGTGGGGATATAAAGATACATGGGTTGGCTTACAATGCAGCTCACTGAAACTTTCTTTTCCAGCTACCAGTATTGACATCAATGAAGTGCCAAATGAAGAGGGAAGTCTGGAGATAAACAGCAAGGTGGACACCTGCCAGAATGGGCCAGAGTCACTGTGCCCCGACTCCCCTGTATCTTTTGACCCCACCAGCAGTGCACAGGGTCAAGAGTCGTCCCCAGGTGTGACTGGTTTCCATGACAGCCTAAGGAAGTCTCAGGGAACTAGTGCTGAGGGCATAGTTCTTAGAAAAGAAGCTTTGCAGTCTCTCAAACTAAGTCTTCCCATGCAAGAAACTGAATTGTGTAAGCATCTGTTTACGGTGACGCCCCTGCTTTCTCTTGCTGCATAAAGCTTTTTACTCTGAGCCTGGCTCTACAATCCTATAACATCATTTAAGCTTGGACTAAACTTCGTTTTTGCAGTAATCTTTTACTTTGAACTACAATTCATTTTCTTTCAGTAAACCACCCTCTGCCGCAGCTAAGGCACGTGCCTTACCATTTAATAATTGTTCTTACGCTGGAGGGGAATTTATGCTTTCTGGGGCTGGAGCTATTCTAACCTTCTTGATTATTAGGAGTAACAGGTGATCTTAAAAAAAAACAAAACAGCAGAACCAGGTGATTTTAAGCTAAGAAGTAAATAGGAGAAGAGCAATACAGGGGAGAGAAAGGAGAAGCCTTTGTGTTAAGGTGTCTAGTGCTACAGGAGTTTTCCCAAATAATGTTTTTAAAAAGTCTTACTATGTGAAAAATTTAATGTGAGTTAACAAGAAGAAAGAAAATGTTTCCGGGGAACATCATTTTCTGACCTGTAAGGAATGAGTGGGCTGTGTAGGTCTTGCTTAGTTGTATAATTTCAGTACTGTCAGAAGTGTAGGACAAGTGAGATTAAATGACAGCAATAGTTTTGTTCTTGCTGTGTAACCTCTTGTCATATATATGTGGAGGAACTACAGCATTTGCAAACTGAACAACAGAAATACACAGGCTTTATCAATGCTTACACAAGGATACATTAGAGCAGGGTATTCTGAGGTGCATGCCAATGGGCTTTCCTTGCCTTCCTTGCTTAAGCATGAAGCATGTTGCTGATGGTAGAAGGGGCTTTTTCCTTTTGCTTCAGATTTGCTTGTGTTGGAGTTTCCTGTTTGACTGTAAAGACACCTTTCACTTATAGGCTCAGTAGAGTCTTCACTCCCATTGGAGAAAGAAGAACAAATAAGACTTCAAGCAAGAAGAAGGCTGGAAGAACAGCTCAAGCAATACAGAGTGAAGAGACATCAAGAAAGAGTAAGTACTACACAACAGATTTTCTACATTCAGTGTGGTATTGAGAAATTGGAAAACTTTATCTTTTCTGTGCTCTAAATTACTGTTTTCTCTGCTTTGAACATTCACTGGTTTTCTCAGATGTTAAAAAGCATTTTATCATTGACTCTTTGCTTCTTTTAGTCTAACCAGTCTACATCCAAGAGCCGGCCCTCCAGCACCCTAGATCCTGAGCTGATGTTAAATCCAGAAATCTTGCCAAGAGCTAGCACTGTAGCAATGACAAAAGAATACTCCTTTTTGCGGACCAGTGTCCCCAGGGGACCAAAACTGGGTAGCCTGGGACTTCCAGCATCCTCAAAAGAAAGAAGAAGTTCAAAATCTAAGCCCAGTAAGATCCGGTCCCTGGCTGACTACAGAACTGAAGATTCAGGCTCTAGAAATGCTCCTGGGAATTTTGTGGCTACTGATCTATCTGGTGGGACTCTGAAGCAAAGCAGAAGCGGTCCAACATCAGTTGTTTCTGAGATTAGTCTGCCTTCTGACATGGATGACCGAATAGAAAATTCCTCTGTGGCAGGAGATAGCGTTTCAGAGATCGATGGGAGTGAAGTGGGAATGAGGCTGGATGGAAATGAGAGTGACAGCTCGACCTACAGCAGCGTGTCAGGAAAAGGGCTGTATAACAGTTTACAGAATGTGGAAGGCAAACAGGGTATTCCTTATACAATAAACGGTCAGAAGATACATCCCGATGCAATGGGGCAATTTCCTTCCATCAGTGAGGTGCTTCAGGCTGCGGCAGTGGAGCATCAAGCCCAAGAGCAAGAAGTTAACGGGGAAGTACGGAGCAGGAGAGACAGTATTTCTAGCAGGTAAGAAAGATCACAGTATAGTGAGGCCATTATTAGGCGTTATACTTTCTTGGAATAGGCAGCCTATTACCTTCTACTAACGTTGAATCCAGTTCTAACTGATGTTGATTGATTGTGATCAAATTTGTTGTTAACTTACAGATTCTAAAAGAAACTGCAAGGTCACTTCACTAGAGTGCCTGTTTTCTAAGGGTATCTTTAAAGAAAGATATTTTTGACACTGGCAGCTTGTTTTAAACGTTCTGCTGGCGGTTGCTTCTATCTGTATTTGCTTGGGAAGCAGGCATTTGTTCACTGAATCACTGATGTGACATTGGTCTTTAAAGTCTGAAAGTGTAGCCATAAATGACTCGGTGATATTTATTATTGTCCTTCTCCTGATCTACACATGTACCTTTCAGACCTCAAATAGTTATGAAACACCAAGAGTCTTGTCCTAGATACACTTATCCTCTTCAGCCCTTTAGAGAGAATGAGATTTACTTAGTCTCTCAACCATATGTGTATATGGTGGGTATTAAACTCTGATTCAGCAAGCGAGTGGATGATTGCTGAAGCCCTTAACAAAGCAGTTGTGTTTTTTAATCAGTTTTCTGGAGATGCAAGTTTATACAGGCTAATTTTTTATCTTTGTTGGACTAAAGTGTAGTGCCCTGAGATGTTAAGGTAGTTCAGTTGTCAACAATTATTCCAGTTTAAACTTAATTCTTACAGTAATGAGAGAGAGAAGATCTTGCCCCTTTTCTCTAGACTCCTTGGCTGTGCATCAGGGAAGGAACATAAGGAATCCCTTAGACCCAATATTTGTTTTTCCTTATTTTGCAGCAGCTGTTGGTATTTCTCAGGCACATTAAAGCAGACAATTACAGACAACAGTTGTGGAGGTTTTGTGCTCCTTTATGTCCATTTGCCTGCATATAAAGGGATAATGCAGGTACAGAATATAATTAAGTCAGCCACGGTACTTCAATAAAAGAACAGATATATGGGTGCCACACTAGTTTCTAGTTGCTGCAAATATGGAAAACTAATGTATAAAACCTTTGTGTGAGTATCATTTCTTTATCTCTTTAAATGATACCAAAGGTTGTTTCTCTGTCATAAAGCCAGAAAAAATATCCTAGATTCTAGGTCAAATGTGGAGTCTGAGTACCTCTTAATTTCAGCTTTGCTTTTTTTCAGCTAGGTGAGTGTTGTATTCTAACCCTTTAATGGTGTATGTGATGTCTCTGTCTCCAGTGTTTCCATGGAAAGCTCTATCGCAGGAACTCATGACGAAATGTTGCAGGTTCTGAAGGAGAAGATGAGACTTGAAGGGCAACTAGAAACACTCTCACTTGAAGCTAATCAGGTAGAAAATGAATTTTGAATTCCTGTATTTAGCAAATCATATTAATACGTTAATTAATTTTCAAGAGGCTCCTACTCATTACTTGTGGGAAATGTGTTTTGTAAAAACATTGTTGAATAAGATTATATGTTAGGAAACTAATATATAAATCTTTACAAGGTACTTTACAAGGATACTTAAGAGGATAAATATAACCGTAGTAAAGTCTTCAAAGGGTTTTAAAAAAATTGTGCTTTTTTAAAAAAAAAGTGAAATTAAGAGAGGTGATAAGTCCAGAGTAATGCTAGCGATGTCTATAGAGCTGTATTTTCTCTTGCATTGATGGATGGTGCAACACTTATATAGAAAGCTTCCTTCCTTAAAGAGTGGAAATGAGTCTTATTAAATATCCTGACATGGGTACTGACATATAGTGCTATATACATCTTGTCTGTACTTTCCTCTGTATTTTCTTTAGCTATTTGAAATACCTGCTAGGTGAGATGTCACTTTAAAAAAGAATTTTTTAGAAGCAAATGGTCTTTGCCTTAGCAAAGCTGTTCTGTTGGGCATCTTCTTTAGTCAGCCAATAATGTATTTTCTCTAAAGACTTCCATATTTTGATTTTTGGGACACATTCAGGCTCTCAAAGAGAAGACTGAGCTACAAGCCCAACTTGCAGCTTTGAACATGAAGCTTCAGGCGCAGATGGAGCACAGCCAAAACAGCCAGCAGAAGCAGGAATCTCTGAGCTCAGAAGTGGCCACATTAAAGCAGTCTTGCTGGGATCTGGAACGAGCAATGGCTGACCTGCAAAGTACTTTGGAAGCAAAGAATGCTAGTTTGGCTTCTTCAAATAATGATTTGCAGTTAGCAGAGGAGCAGTACCAAAGACTCCTGCTGAAGGTTGAAGATATGCAAAAAAATGTTCTCACCAGAGACAGCACAGGTGAGATGATGTAAATGTCAGTCTTTAACATTTGTTGTTCCATAAATCATGTTATTTCAACAGAATTCTGAAGTCCTGCAGCAAGAAGGAATTTTAATTTCTGTTTCGTTGATGTCATACTAATAAAATGGTTTTAATTTTAAGATGATTAGGTTTTATTTTTTGTCACAAAAATGCCACAGTTGTGAGCTCCACTGCCAGCCTGGAGAGGAAGGAATAAATGTTTAGTCTAGTAACTGTCTGTAAGTGGACTAATGATTTTTAGAAAACTGTACAAATATTGGTTTTTAGTGATGATTCTGTGTGTCAGCTTACCTTCTTCCTGATTTTTAGGTAGTTCGTGGTTTCTGCCACTTAAGGAACTTTGAATGCCTTAAGAAGCGATTCATTTATTTTAATTTTTGACCTGGTACTGGATTCTAGCACTTCCCCTCACTTTTGCAGGAGAAGCCAATCTTTATGTAATTAGACATAAACGTTTTTGTTCAAGAAGAAAGGAAAAAAGAAGTTATGAATATAGCAATAATCCTTGAAAATGTGTGCATAAAAATAGAACAATGGAGTGCTTAATCCAAGTTCTTTATTTTTCTTTTTCTAGTTCATGATCTGCGACAGCAGTTGGCTTCCCTACAGAACCAGCTTCAGAAGGTGCAGCTGGAACGGACCACACTGACCAATAAGCTAAAGGCATCTGAGACAGAAATCACATCGCTCCAAAACGTGCGGCACTGGTACCAGCAGCAGCTCGTGCTGGCACAGGAGGCCCGTGTCAGGCTGCAGAGTGAGATGGCCAATATACAGGTATTATGCGTTACTTGCCTATGGGGGGACAGAGAATATATTCATTTTCCTTTTTTATGTTAGTTTTATCCAAATGATGTTGTTTATGGGCTCTGACAAGGGAGCTGATCTCAGTTGTGTATTCTTCAGGTGGAGAGCAGACAGGGATGGTGTTTTGGTTTTCATCATGAGGTGTTAGTTCACGTTAAGGCTGAGGCATAAATTTAACCAAAGCACTTGCCTTTTGTGGATGAAGATCTGTAGTACCATGAAAGTCATACTTGAGATAAGGCACAGAGAGATCCAACGTGATTTTTATTTTTATTTTTTTTAAAACTTAAATTTGTTGGCCAAATTTTGACTGTTGGTTTAATCGGTGATTTGTTTTTTTTTCCTTCCTTTAGGCTGGGCAAATGACCCAAGCAGGTATGTTGGAACATCTCAAACTAGAGAATGTGGCACTGTCTCAGCAGTTGACTGAAACCCAGCACAGATCCATTAAAGAAAAGGAACGTATTGCAGCACAGCTGCAAAACATTGAGGTACGGTTGTAGGTGGTCTTCATGAATTATGTTCTGCATAGGTTGTGTATTTAGGCTTTGCAAAGTAACACTGAATTGTTTTGAATTGATTCAAATGCTGCATTATAAAAACAAAGCAAATAAGTTTGCATGACATTACAAACAGTAAGAGGGAGCAAGGCCATATGTTTTCCATTCCAATGTGGTACTTGCATTTTCAGCTCTGGTGTTTGTTTTTAATTTAATTTTAAAGGGGGATGTAAATGTTCTCCATTGCCCATTCAGGAATCTTTTCAAGAAAATACTGATTTAGTTGAACTTCCAATTAAGTTAAGCCCTGTGTGAAATTCTGCAGTACTCAGGTTTGTCTTTCCTGTCCTCCAGTAAGAAAAGATGAGTAAAATCTGAAGTACAGTAGACTCACTTTCAAAGTACTTAAAGCCTTAAATCCCATTGAATTTCAGTGATGTTCCTGCTTCTAAGTCTCAAAGGGCAGTAGAGCAGCAGGTTAGTGGAAGCACTGACACTCAGTCTCCAGTGTTAGTAATAGCAGTTGTGTAAATGACTCTTAAGTATACTGAATAACTTCAGTAAAGACATACAGCTGTGCAAAGGCAGACATCAGAATTATTTTTTGCTTATGTCTTTTTCTCTAGAAAATTTATTGGTAATTTACCTTTTTTTCTTCTTCTTTTCCCTCTTTCCCACCCACCTTCCCCTTCCCTTCCACACAAGCTGTAAAAGTTGATTCCTTGCTTTTTCTTTGCAGGCTGACATGTTAGATCAAGAAGCTGCCTTCATGCAAATCCAGGAGGCTAAAACCATGGTGGAAGAAGACTTGCAGAGAAAGCTGGAGGAGTTTGAGGATGAGAAAGAACAGCTTCAGAAAATGGCTGATTCTGCAGCAACGTTGGAGCAAGAATTGGAACAGGTAGACTGTTTTTAGGCAAAGTCTCAAGAGTTTCAAGGGAAATACTTATTTGGCTAAAAAGGGAATAGTAAGTAGATACTGATTTAAAAAAAAAAACAACAAAACTGAAAGATTGCTGCAAAAATGAAGTCTGTATCAAAGTCACTCTGTCCCAGGTGAAAAGGCTCCCTCTTCTTCAACCATCTCAGTAACAGTACTTTTTTGAAATTTCATAACTACTGTCTTGTATGTGTTGGGTTTTTTTTAGTGAATTCAGTTTGTCATTATTCTAAGTATATACAGGAAGCACAGATCCATGTTTAAAGTTGTTGGGCAGCCAGGATACCATTCTATACCATTGCAGCGTAATAAATCTGCATTTCTCTACAGAGTCCCCCTTTAACCTTGTAACATTACAAAGGCTTGAATGAGATGAGGTATGGGACAGTTCAGTGTTATATTCCATATTCCATGTAATTACATGGCATTATCATTAATAACACTGAATCTACCCAATGTTTCTACTGTGGACATTTTTCAAATAAAAATTTAGAACACTGTGAATCTTAAGAATATTTTAGGTTTATCATTCTGGTCATTGCTTAGCCTGTAAGGTGCTGCAGGTTGCAATTAATTGGCAATTTCCAGAGCTGGCCTTGGAAAGTTAAAAGATATTTTCACCTTCTGCTTTTTTCTCATAGAAGCTAAAACATTAGTTAAAACATTTTATTTTTACTGGAGTGCATTTGCAAAGATAACGTTAATTTTGTATGACTTCTATTCTTAAAATACTTCACAGGTCAAGTTGACTTTGCATCAGCGAGATCTGCAGCTTGAATCTTTACAGCAAGAGCACCTGGACCTAATGAAGCAATTCACTCTGACCCAAGAGACATTGCACACCAAAGAGCAGTCCCTGGATGACCTGCAAACACAGTATGACGAACTGAAGGCCAGATTAGAAGAGTTCCAAAGTGACGCTACTTCTAAAGATGACACGATCCAGTATTTGCAGAATGAGAAGATTGTCTTGGAAGTAGCCCTGCAGGCAGCAAAAGCAAGCAAAGAGCAACTTGACGAAGGAGCAACGCGCCTTGGAGAAAGTGCAGAAGTAGCATCAGAAATCTTGGAACAACTCAGGCAAGAAATGGCAATCAAGTCAAGCCAGGTAATGACTCCCTAAAAGTATCTTATTTAAAACAGCTGTTGCTGGGAAGTATTGCCACAGGCACATGATAGAGAAAATTACATGAGAGGAGATTGGTACACATGAGTTTGTATACATCTGTAGTTGCGAGATTCAGCTAGTGGGAATATTTTTCATCAATTCTCTCATCTTTCCCTGTTGATAGAGTATCTGACACTTTAGATGAGCTTGCAGGTTAATATCCCTTGGTATCTATAGGCATTTATGCATTTGTGTGGTATAGGATGGGAAGCTGATGTTACTTGATCTTGTTCTGTCTGTTTCCAAGAACCACCATCTTTCTAAAATCTGAGAGTTTTAAAAAGTAATAATTTTGAGAACTCATCACATTTTTGGAAGTAATTTTTTAGCGCTCTCTTTTTCTGTAGCATTGTGGGCCAATCATCCTCCTTATGCAGTAATTTGGTGATGTTTAATCGTGCCTTTTCTCTTGAAACAGTATATATACACCAGGATTTGCTTTTGTGTATTGTTATATACCAATGGAGGCTTTTTTCTAGTCACTGAACTATTTTACAAGAACAAGCCTAATGAACATCCTTGTTCTCTTTGTGGTTGCTTTAAATTATGATGATTCTTCCTTTCACACCTTAGTTTGATAGTCACGTTTGCTCTTTGTCTTTAGAGCACCCAGGTTCCATAGCAAGAGCTTTCTTACTGAGTCCTGGTAATAATGAATTCCTGGTAATCTTTCAAGATTTCTTTTGAAGATAAAAATGGGACTTGACAGTATTACCAATAGAATTATTGAAGAACTATGGAAATATATTTAACATAAAGATTCTTTGTTTCCTTCAAAGAACCAGCTTGTTTCTTCATTTGATCATCATGTATTTGTGAATGGGTGCCATTCAGATAAAATATGTACACTAACGAGGCATACTAAAACCTTAATGGCAGGATAAGGAGGCTTCATGCATTCGTGAGGGCTGACAAGGCTCACTATGTGGTGACCTGTGTGAACATATTTCTGTATCAAATGTTGTGTTATCTAACAGTGCCATTGAGATGCCAAGTAAGAAACAGAATCCTCACTAGATTCGGCATTTGGTACAAGCATAGCAGAAGGTACTGTCGATGCTTGAAATAACGTAGAATATGATATTTGGCATGTAAAGCAATGCGTTGGCTTTTTTTTTTTTTCTCTGGCAGGTAGAAAATCTGCAAAAGGAAAATGCCAGCCTTAAAAAACAGGTTCAAAAATTGAAGGAACAGTTCCTGCAGCAGAAGGTAAGCAAAAGTGAACTATTTCAAAGAAATAAAGCCAAGGAATATATTTCTTTTCACAATGAAGGCATGTACATCTTAGGGTTCTGTGAGGACACTTGAACCAATTTTCTGTATCAAAGAACTTTGTGACATAATTATATAGTTTTTGTATTTCATCCAGTTGAATTTTTATCTGTAACTAAAGTAAAAGCAGATCCACCAACCAATTCATGCTTTCATTGGACTTCAGAGAGTTTGTCAAATAAAAATATAAACCATATAAAATCTCTCTGGTTTGCTGATGCTAAGTTTGCCTTTGCAAAAGTACTCATGAAAATCTTCAAGTGTAGTTGTTTTCCTGCAGCTTTGAAAAATGACAGTTGCTTCAGTAACAAGACTGAAAATAAGTGCTTTATTGCAAATTTTATTCTGAATTTACACAGTTTTGAGACAGTGGTATTGAAATTGGTATGTCATTAGTCTTCCACATGTTACTGCTTAATTGCTGATTAAGTTAATGCCAAAGGTTGGTTTAGCTTGTTAGGTTTAAGTTTGGGAAGGCTGCTCAAATTGTAAGTCACAGTTAAGTCCTCTTCTCGTGGCAAAAATTATTAATTATGCACATGGGATGGTTAATTTTTTACAATTAGTGTAGTTTAAAAAAAGGGCAGTTCCATAAAGAATGTGAAGAAGAGTATTCTGTACTGCTATAAACACTCTTACTCAGAGGTTTTTCATGAGCTGCTGATACATAGTGGTATTTGATATCTGAGCTGACATAAAAATCTTTGAACAAGAGTAAATACGTTACAGAAGATGATGCTGGTTTGTGTTCTTTGACACTTTTCCCTCCCCGAAACTAAAAGAGTATCAGTAAATACTTTATAGTAAGTTACTCTTAAATTCATAAAGGTGTAACAAGAGGTGACATTGTCCTCTTCAAACTCTTGTGTCCAAGGTGATGGTAGAAGCTTATCGAAGAGATGCAAGTTCTAAGGACCAGCTGATTAGCGAACTGAAAGCTACGAAGAAGCGGTTGGACTCAGAAGTGAAAGAGTTAAAACGAGAGCTACTGAAAATTCAAGTTGAAAAGCAGTCACTCGAATCTGAACATTCAAAACTACAGAAGGAAGTATCTCAGGTTCAACAGCAGATGGTGGAAATAGAAAACCATCTTCAGTCAGTGCAGAAAGAACGAGACGATATGGAAACACGCCTACAGGTATGGGAGGTGTTAAGCTTTAGACTTTGAGAGTGTTACATCCAGGATAGGTTGCTATTTCTATTAACTTTGGAAACAGAATGACCACCTGAAAGTTCCTGGTTACATGTTTAATATTGTCTACGCATTTGAGCATATACCTAGCAAAATTCTGTAAATACATGACTGCTTATTAACATTTAACATAAGTAAGTGAGGAGAAGCACTCTACAGGAGTGGCAGAGGTGTGATGTGGAAGCAATTTCCTTGGTTCCAAAGTGAACTCCATCTGAGAGCAAACACCAAAATAGAATTCTGTTAATCCATGTTATGGTGGTGGCCGCAGAGGGAAGAATTAAAGAAGAAAAAAAAAAAAGGGGGAAAGAGAAGGGAGATGGGAGACCCTTGGAACACTATATTTATAGAAGGAAGTAATTTTGAAGCTTCACGCTTATTCTTTTATAATCCAACATACAGGAGACAGGCTTTTGTTCTCTTTCTCATGGGTGTTTTTTTTTTCTTTCCTATTAAGTCTTTGCAGTTCGATAAGGAACAAATGGCATCTCTTGCTGAGGCAAATCAGACATTAAAACAACAAGTAGAACAAATGCAAGAAGAAGCAAAAAAGTAAGTCTGTTCTTTTGTACAGTCAAAAGAACTACAGCATTTTTTTTCATATTTACCTTTTTAGCAAACACTTTTTTCCTATTCCCTAGTCTTTCCTTTGGAAAATTTAAGCAGTCAGAGCCAGACAGAGTCATAGGGTCATATCGATGGCAAAGTGTCGGTTACATGCTCCACAGGAGTTGCACTGATTCACTTATGTTTTTAACCAGCAGCATGTGCCATACAACATGCAGACTCAAGCTAATCCTGATTACCATTCGCTAAAATTTTAGCCTTGACTGGCTCCAATGTTGGCATTAATGAGAACCATTTTTTTTTTCTTCCACTGGTGATCACAGGGTTTTTATGATAGTTGACATATCCACCAAGGAACTCAGATTAGATTGGTTACTCTAAATTCTGTGTTATTTTTAGACTAGTATGGATTCCTTCATACTGGAGTTTTAATAATTCTGAGAAAGACCTCTTAATTATCATAAGGATTATCTTGGAATATTATCAAGAGATTTCAATGTATTGTCTTGCAGAGGGCCAAATTGTACCTTACCAACCTGAAGGCTTTCTCTGCTGAGATGGGTGACTCTGGGACAAGGGGAGAGAAGTGGGTGTTGAGTTTTATTGCAACATGTTAAAAGTTAATCTTTTCAGGCAGTTTTTGTTTTTACCTGATGTGTTGTTTTTCCTTTTGCTCCAGGGCCATAACTGAGCAGAAACAGAAAATGAAGCGTCTGGGGTCAGATCTGACGAGTGCTCAGAAGGAGATGAAAGCAAAACATAAAGCCTATGAGAATGCAGTCGGCATTCTTAGTCGGCGGCTACAGGAATCTCTGGCTGCAAAGGAATCTGCTGAAGCAGAACTGAGCAAACTGAAGGCACAAATCACTGATGGTGGAAACAACCAGATTGCTCAAGTATGCAGAGGCCTTTTAACATTTTTAGTACAAAGATAGAGCTATCTTGTTATTAAGTATAGGTCTTGAAATATTATTTTACACTGGAGTGATGAAAATATTTGGAATATAAAGCTAGGTAAGAACATAGTATCAGTGTGCCAAGCACTGAGAATTTTACTTGCATCTTTCAGATTACAAGTTGTAACCAAACCTCAAGAGGATGATGAGCCTTATAGCTAAATTTGCTGATTAATTTTTATTGTTGTTTGGATTTTTTTGTTTTTTGAAAGGCTCAGCATTTGAAGATATTTCCAATATTCTAACTCTTACTGCTTTTTTTTCTCATTGAGAGTTAAAAGTTACTATAACAGAACTATATGTTTTGCCTGTGATAACAAAATTAATTTATTGGAAGAAGATCCAATTCCTTGGACCAATGGAGCAAGATGTTAAATAGACTAGCAGCAGTAGCTGGATGGAAGAGTGAAAAGCTCTGAGCAAGGCCTTCACATTAAGCACTAGCACCTTATTTAATATTTGCTAGAGAAGTAGCCTTTTTAACAAAACCAAAATTACTCGTGTAGATGGGTGATGTATTAATCGCGCTTGTGTTTCCTTTGTCTTTAGGAAAAGATTCAAGCTCTGGAGACAGAATTGCAAGCTGTTAGCAGCAGTAAATTGATGCTGGAAAAAGAGTTGCAAGAAGTGATTTCACTTACGAGCCAGGAGCTTGAAGAATACAGAGAGAAAGTGCTGGAACTCGAGGATGAGGTGATTGCTTGAATTTCACAGTAGATGGGAAGGTGACAGTAAAAAGTGCCTGAGAGGCAGGGGAGAAATTCTAGTACCATAATTTTATTCCAACAGTTCAGGAATTCAGAATCTTAGAATATTTCTTAGGAAATACAGTGTCAGTGACACTTCCTAATTTTGCTGCTCTATGCTGGTTCGTCATGGTTTCATGAATCGTTCTGTAGGGGAAAAGAAGATGAGAGAGAAAAGTAGTTCCTGTATTAGATACCAGCTGTGTCTGGTCATGAGACAGTGAGGATGTGTGAATCACTGTCTTTTGAAGCTATTTGGAGTCATGGATACTGAGTGATTTTGAGGGCAGGGTGGTGGTGTTCAGTTGTAGAGTTGCGCAAAAAAATTATATATATCTACTACTTTTGGTCTGCACCTGAACAGTGCTCCTGGATTCTGCTTTTAGCAAGCATTTTAGCCTTCCAAAAGGAAAAAATACCTAACTGAGCTTATTTTGAAGTGTTCATTTAAAAAAAGAAAAAAGAAAAGAAAAAAAAAAAGATACCCTACTCTGGGTAAGCAAGACACTTAATGAGTTTAGTACAGAACTTTTTTGTGGTAGTAATCTGGAATTGTTTGGGTTTGTTTGCTTGATTTATTATTTTTTTCCTTTGGCTATAGCTTCAGGAATCTAGAGGCTTCAGGAGGAAGATAAAACGTTTAGAAGAAATTAATAAGAAGTTGGCCCTTGAACTGGAGCATGAACGAGGAAAACTTACAGGTCTTAGTCAGTCCAACGCCGCTTTACGGGAGCACAACAATATCCTAGAAACAGCACTAGCAAAAAGAGAGGCAGACTTGGTACAGCTGAATCTACAGGTATTTGGCCTTTTTGATATGAAATCTAAGAAAGGCATTAGCTCACATTTCTGATAACAGGATGAAGACATCTTTACTTGTATGATAGAGAGTTGGTGCATTTTCTCCACATTTGGGTCTCCCGTGTGTTGTGTAACAGCAGTAATATATGGGGCTAAACAAGACATCAGAAATGAGACTTTGCGCTGAACAGAACTGTTACTTTTGGAAAAAAGCAAATCACACTCAAATATTTGTGATAGTGAGAGTGTGGCTTTCTTACGTTAGTTGAAGCATACAAATTGTGTTACATACGGATTCATTGAGATGAACAGTTTTTATGCCAATAGTAATATATTCATGTGGTGTAAGCAAATGGGAATATAGGCAATGAGCTACCATTTAACTGTAGCTACTTTTAAGGTTGAGGGGTACCACAAGGAAAGAGTTATCAATGAACAGAACAGAGGTTTTACAATCCCTGCATTGGCTTGTGTTTATATTTCCTCTATGGGTGTTTCCAGTCTTCCAGTGAGCCCACACAAAACATGCATTTGTTTTTGTGGTCTGATACAGGTTCAGGCAGTCCTGAAACGGAAGGAAGAAGAGGATCAACAAATGCAACAACTTATTCAAGCTTTACAGGATTCCTTAGAGAAAGAAAAGTCAAAAGTTAGAGAGCTTAAGAAACAGGTAAAGGCTCATCTTTTGTTTTATTTACTTAAAAGGTGCTTTAAATGTAAAGTATTTGAAAAGTAGCTTGAAACAAAATCTCTGCTTTACAATAGACTGCTTTCTGCAGGGTCTGTCATGATGGGCAGTGGCTGAAAGATGAGTCGATGTCTTTTCCCTATGTTAAGCATAATCATTGACTACCAGAAAAGTTCTAGTCTGAGTTGTAATGAATGGGACATATCCTGAAGTGATGTACTAGTTGTTCAAAAGCTGACAATGAAATAGCAGTCTTGCAAATGTACTTCTTCCGTTATATATACTTATTAACTGCCTTTAGCATTAATAAGGATAACAACACCAATAATAAGTTTTTAAACGAAAAAAGAAGTGTTAACAGCTGCATGACTTCCTTCTTGATTTGTTTTGAACCTCTTTATTCTAGCTCCCTTCATGATGCACCCACAGTGATAAAACAAAAAAATATTCTTCTTTCTTGTAGGAAGCAGCAGCTAAAGCGGATGCAGCGCATAACCGCCGTCATTACAAAGCTGCTGCCCTTGAGCTCAGTGAAATCAAGAAAGAGCTTCATGCCAAAGAACTGCTTGTCCAAGCCCTTCAGGCTGAAGTGGACAAACTACAGTAAGTAAATGTATAAAATCCTTAGACAATAGTAAATTAAACAAAATTTCTGAAAAAGACATACATTAGTGACTTGTTGGTTTTGCTGCTCTGGGGTGGTTTATGTTGAAATGCACCCCAGCTGAGCCTGACCCTAAGATGCATGTTTGGACTCTAGGCAAATACTTGCATTTTTCTATCTCTTCATAATTCATTTAGACCTAAAGTGTATGCTGTATTTAGGCTTCAGAATCTGCTTTTTTTACAGTTTCAACACAGATTTCTACTCTTTCACGTTACTAGTAAGGATTAACACTTCATATATATCCTATTATTCTTCTTTCACACCTCTGAGGTACTACATAGAGGATAAATTTTGTTGTTCAATATATTCAATTTGTTTTCTTGTATAGAAGATATCTTCTTAAATTTTAAGAAATTATCAGACCCCCATGAGAATGTATATAATCTTAACCCTGTTCCTCTTAAAACGAGCAAAATTGCTGACAGGTTTTTTAATTTTACTTTGTTTATTGTGTAATCTATTGTTTGTATCTGGACTACTGCCAGTGCTCAAGGATTTTTTTTTTTTTAATATTTAATAATATATTCATGCATCTCTTATATGAAATCTTTTTGTGATTTAACTCTTGCTGTGAATGTATTGGCAAAGCCTTCAGTCAAAGCTATGACTAACCAGGTTCTGTGGACTGTCATGTCATTTATGGTTACATAGCAAAACCCAATGAAGTACTTATTTTAAAGGACAGATTGAATAACTGCTGTCTGTTAATCCTGCTGTACAGGGTAGAGGATGAAAAACATTCCCAGGAGGTATCACAGTTTCAGCAGGAGCTGGCAGAAGCCAGGTCTCAGCTCCAACTTCTGCAGAAAAAGCTGGATGACAAGCTTACTGAACAGCCTGTAGTAAACCAAGAGGTAAAAACTGCACTTTTACTGTGTTTACCTTTATTTATAATACATTGTATGACTTCATTTGTCTTTAATTCAGCGTTCTTTAATAAAGTTATGCTAGGTTTTCTTAGAACCAAGAAGGGTTCATGAGACATAGGTAATAATATATTTCAGATTTTTTTGTAGATTGTACTTATAGAGAATTCTAAAGATTTTTTTTTTTTTTTTTCCTGGTAGGTGGAAGACCTCAAGTGGGAAGTAGAACAAAAAGAAAGAGAAATTGAAACACTTAAGCAGCAGTTGGATATGAGCGAGCAGCGCAGCCACAAGGAGTTAGAAGGAATACAAGTTGTCTTGCAGGTATTTAGGCTACCTGGTGGAGATTCTGATGGATAACTGGTATTGCTATGGGGATAATTGACACAATGTTTTTATTGTTTAAAATCATACTTATACTGATACTTTTCTGATACTTTCCTTACAAATTTTTATTCATAAAGACTTACTCACTTTGTGTTTTGCAGTCTCTGTTTCACTTTGTGGCTGTTAGCTTTGCATTTCCTTGATCTTACACCATTAAAATAGGCATTGATATTTTTTTTAAATCTTATTTCTGGTTTTATGTCAGGGCAAATTGGTTTCAAATAGCAGTGTTATGTGTTGTTTCTTTTTCTAGTTTCCCCTGGAAACTGAAAGAAAATTATAAAACATTAGTTGGCTGGAATTTTTATACCAATTCCCCATATCATGTTGATTCTTCTCTTTTCTTATTTAGAATATCAAGACTGAGTTGGAAATGGCGAGGGAAGACCTGTCAGTGACTCAGAAGGATAAGTTTATGCTGCAGGCTAAAGTGACTGAACTGAAAAACAGCATGAAGTCGCTGCTGCAGCAGAACCAGCAACTGAAATTGGACCTGAAACATGGCAAGATGAAGAAGGTATTTAAATAGGAAGAATATGTGTTGTAGGGTACTGGAAAATACTGTACCAATGCTCTTAAAGTACCAGAAAATACTCTGCTGCAGGAAGCCTGGTGAAAACTCTGAACTGAAATGCCTGTCTGTGATAGAGACTTCTGATGTTCTGATATTTAAATGATAAATACAGGAAAATACGGAGGCAAAAGCAACTGTACTGACCTTGACTTCCCACTTTTTACTTCAGAAATCTTTCTGGTTTAGTGTATAATCTTATATTTACATTTTGACTTATAAAAATAAAGCAAAAAAGGTAGCACTTAAATAATGAATCATGGACAAACATGGAGTTGATGCTGCCTTATAGTTAATGCCTTCATAATGTTCATGTGTCTTTCCTCTCCATACTGTCTAGTTTTTAATTTTTCCACAATTTCAAAAGGTAACTATTAGTGGTTTCTTTGAGTCTTCTGATTTGCTACTCGTACACAGAAAATGCAGTAATAGTAGATCTCTTGCTCTTTCCCTCCCTGAAGTAATACTCTCGCTTAGGGAGACAGAATTTTGTATGGAAGCCTCCATTTCATTCTTTTAGACGTTGATCCTGGTACCTCATCTTTCAGGTTCCAGAATTTCCAAAAGGATTTCTTTGATTGTATTTAACTGATTTTTTTTTTTTTTTTTCTGACTTGTTCTCCTAACTATACTGAAAGAATGTTATTAGAATTTGTTGTGAAGATCCAAATAATTTTCTTTAAATCCTTCCTGGTTTATTTCCTTAGTAGGTGAGTTCTCGAGTAGGTCCTTCTAGGTGCTGTTTGTTTACTCATGAGCATGGTTTGTTTACTCATGATGACATTAGGTTAGGAACTTTGGCTTGTGACCCATGAGACCTAACGTGAATGTGCTTCTGATTCCTGCTCTATAATGCAGATATGTACCAGTAGTGTGATGTGAGAGTTTTTCTATGTGGTAAAAATGACACTGATGAAATAATTTCATTGTATTTCTGGCTCTTCTTTTTTGCTTTAACCAGAGGAAGGAACTGAAAGGAGAAAATAACTCTTCAAATCCTGTGACTCCAGTCAAGATTCCTGACTGTCCAGTGCCTGCTGCCTTGCTGGAAGAACTGTTGAAACCATCGACAGCTGTGAGCAAGGAGCCTTTAAAAAATCTGAACAGCTGTCTCCGGCAATTAAAGTATGACCTGTTATTTTAAACCATATTAAATAATCTTAAAAATGTTTCCAAGAAAACAGCTGCCAGCCTAAGGAAAAAAGGATTTGTAAAATGAATTCTTTTCTTCTTACTGGGATTATATTTAGGAGAGTAGGATGTTTTGTCATTTTAAGTGCTTGCTTATATGGTAGTGAAATAGGGAAAGAAGCCTTTACAATAAAGTAGACAAAATGTCTATCCAAAATTGTACACAGCACAACAAACCAGAGACAGCTATTTCTAGTTGTTCTTGCTGGTGGAAAAGCGGGTGTTTCTGTCCCGTCACAGCATGAGAACAGCTGCTCGTGGTAGGAGCCCAGGCCATATGTTAATAAGAACTCTCTACAGAGGAAGTTCATTCTGCCAAAAATATGTACCAACCTTACATGGTTGCACATGAGATTCTGAACAGAAAAGCTACAACTTCAGGAGGACAGGGAGTTCAGGTTATTGGGAGAACTGAGCTGCTGTTATCACCTCAGTTGATGTTTGAGGGGAGCGAGCCTGTGATAATGTTCTGTGATCCTGTACTACCAGACTAGTTGCTTTGCTAAATTGGTGTCTGACTAAAATCATAATGTGTTTATCTAGTTATTTTTCTGTGCTGCTTTCCTTACCCCTACTTCCCATGTTGTCTTTTGTACCCGCAAGAGTACTGTGTTCGTCAGGTTGCAGTCACTAATTGCCTTTACTGAGGAAATAGTGCTGCATCATCCCTGGCAATGAGTATGTGCAGCAAATGGAGCTGCTGCATTGTTGGCCCTTATTTTTTGAATTAAGCATATTGTATTTGTTTTGCTCGAAAATTAGACACTTCCTAAGCTTCCTGTAGATGTCTTTCTCTTGTATACAGCTAGAGCTTAGATAGTATTGAGTAGGCATCAATAATCAGAAAAATAATGTTCTGATCTTGCATTTAGCAGTTAGCTTTCTGCTTGTTAATTTTTGCTTTTTTGTTCTCAATACCTTAAAAAGGCAAGAAATGGATAGCCTTCAGCGTCAGATGGAGGAACACACCATTACAGTACACGAATCGATGTCTTCGTGGACTCAGATTGAGGGGCAGCTAATGGACCTTACCTCTACCAGTCCTGCAACTGCAACAGACCAGCAGGAGATTCCTACTGCAGATGAAAAGAAACAGAACTGTAGTGTTAGTGACAAGGAAGCTTTGACACTATAACCTCCTTATCAGTTGTCTTTCTTCCTATTGCTTTAAGTATGTAAACAAATCTTTATCAAAATTATTTATTTATTTCATTTTAAAAAATGGTGTTCAGAGTTGTGCTTTTGCCCGTAGAAGCAAAGGGCATGGACTTTGAGAAACTGGTGTAATATTAAATGCAGAACATGCTGTTCCAAGGGTTTGTTTGAAACCTTACCATAATTCTGTCATGTTGGGGACTGCCATGTGGTAAATCTGGTTTATTTTGGAGTTTAGTAAGAGATTCAGATGAAGGTTTAAAATGAGGTCAAGAAGAGCATCTGGTTCCAGGTCTGTCTTTGTTCAGTCTGAGTGAGTTTGTTAAGGAATGACTGTTAAAGTAACATCAGGGTTTTGGTGCATTGTTTTACCTGGGGGGAGGAAAGGGTTGTGTGTGTGTTGGGTTGTATCAAAGTCACAGGGCAAAATAAGTCCTGTTCATGTTCAGCCATTAGCAGTGGTTGAGAACTGGATGTTCCAAGCATCCTCTCTCCTCCCTCCTATAATCTCTTACTTTTGCAGTTGATTACAGGTATCTGTATTTAAAGAAAAAAATTTCATTTGAAGCCATTTCTAGATGACTTCTGACCTATAGCAAAAGAAACAAGACTGCAGAGACAAGCAGTGCAGACCGGTATGTGTCTTTGGCAGATTTGCCTGGGATGTTTTCTGAAGTGTCACAGTTTTTCTCTTACAGTTGCAGGCCAGTAGGGAGCTTTGCTTCACTGCACAAACACTTCTTGCACCTTTTTAGTTCAACTTTTGAAGTAGACACCCTTGAAAAAGGTATGCGTGTAATATATATATATAAAGAAAAAATCATAATTTTCTGACTTTAAATATCTGTTTTAATATGCTTATATACTGTAAGTTAAGGCTGACATGAGGGTTTTTTGTTACTGTCATTATTTTAATGTTACATTTCAGTTTGCTGGTTTTTGACATACTGTACAAATGGCTTAGGGAAATTAGCCCCCAGAGCCAGAGCTTTTAGAAATGTAATTATTTTTACTTTAAAAGACAAAATTATAATGCCTATAAAATTATTGTTTTTATTAGCTTTATTTTCTCCCATATGCTTCCCCTATTTTTTGCACCCTCTATCGCGAGGTGTCCACCGTGAACGGAAATGTTGGTACTGTGGCAGCCCCTCTGCAGAGCACCTTGACTAGATTATTATTAAAGCAGGCCCCTTCAGATTCCTATTCCTTTGGTCCCATTGCTCCATGTGTCTCGTAGTGCAGGGAGAAACCTGCCCTCTCCTCAGTCACAGATTCAGTGGGGAGGTACTGCTTTGCCTAATGTGCCAAGTGCTAAAGCAGAAATCAAAATATATGTGACAGATTATTTGGAAGATTTAGTGGCAACTCATGTACTAGCATGTGTTTGTCTTTAAAACATAAAGAAAACAGGTCAATTGTATCCACTATAGAATGGCATTTAAAAAAAATAAAATAGGTACAAGTAGATTAAGTGGCTGGGAGGAAAAAAGTCTCGTTTGTGTATTTTTCCAAAGAGACCGTTGCTGCTTTTGGATGGGTTTGGTTGTTTGGGGGAGAAAATGATTGCAGTTTGCTTAGCAGCAAGGCAAAAAGTTAGCAAACAAAAAACCAAAACCCCCAAACTTACCCATATTTATCCAAAGTCTGATTTCTTATCATTACCAATTCAAGCTCTGAGCAAGTTGAACACTTGGCACCTGGAGTATCTATACTGACTGATTTCATGCCCCTTAGTTACTGGAATTTAACTTCTATTTTATTGGGATCGAAGTCAATGCTAAAAGTCAAGGTTTCGAAAGTGGTGAAGACAGAAATGCATTAGTGTGGCATTAGGTGCCCATCATGCAGAATTACCAAACAATTCAAAGAAAAGCCAAAAGCTTTACAGACTAGCTTAGACGTGAATGTCTGCACACTGCTGTAGTCTGCTTCGCAGAGTAAATGGTACTGATTCTCTCGCTGCTGTCATGTTCTTGAAGTTGCCTGTATATTAAGTTTGAAGAAGAAAAAAATATGCAGTATTGAACAAAATTAAAATTACATAATGAATAATATATTCAGTACAAAAAAGTTATTACACGTTCAGAATTTTAAATAAAATAACACTTCTGCAGCTTTAACGTTGCTGTTCATTCTGGTAAATACATTGCCTACAGTTAAGAGATTAAAACATAATGGATTCTTAACTTTGGCAACAGTTATATGGATAAAGGTTTTATCTGGCATCAAAGAAGCCAGAATTGTTAGAGAAACCTTCATAGTTCTTCAGAATGTCTGCTCTCCTCTTGTTTTTGTATCAGTAATATACTGCCTTCTGTTCTCAGTGCAGTGCTGCATTTTCTCACTAGCTCCTTCTAAGGACATCTGAGCTTCTACAATCAAGTAGCCTTAGATGTGTGTTTTTCCTTTTAAAGATGAGGGAGCTGTTGTGAAGTGCTCAGATTAGCTTTCCACATTGACCCACCTGTCTCTCTGAAAGCACCTGGACACTAGGTATTTCATTTTTTATTCACCATGGTTTTTTTCTATAAACAGAAGCACCATGCCATTTCCCCAAATGAAGGACAGACGGTGACACTCAAGGGTCTAAATCTGGTGAGGTACTGAGTCAATTAAGTTGCAGAAGTCACTGGGAAGCCTTCTAGAAGGAGCGCGCAGCATGTGATAAAAGCAAGGCCTTTTCTTTGAAGCTCATCAGCTGTGTTTCTTAATTATCCAGAGAAATAGTTGCTGTTTTATTAAAAAGCCTCACCCTGAGGCTGGGCGTGCTCACTTTACAAAGCTTCAGGTCTCTGCTGTCTAGGCAATAAAACAAACTAGTTGAGGAATGAAAACTGCCTCCCCTCTGCTTGTTGCAGCACTGCCAAATACATCAGAGGAAAATCAGTGCCTCATTCACACTGGTGTGTTTATAGAAACTGAAGAATAATCTCTTAAAGATATTTTATTTTTCCTTTTTCAAGCACTGCAGTAGAATGTATTTTCTGTGTCTGTTTCTTCAGTGGTTGCTTCCTACTAAACCAAGTCTTGTTGATGAAGGAGAAATGTCACTGTAATGTGAGGATGTTTCCCAAGTGAGGGCAGTTGGTAACTGCTGCAATGTTACTTCTTCAGATGCTGTTGGGTTTTTGAGGATTCTTGAAAAATTGTGCATTTAAAAAACCAATCAACCAGCAAACCCTACAATGAAAAATATTGTTGGTTACTGAGTCTCTGGTGTTGCTGAACATTGCATAATGCTCCATTCCGCTGTCTTCCAGATTTCTTGGAAATATTTGTGCACTGTATTGGGATCAGCTGGGCCCCTTACCCGCTCATGCAAGGGGGGGATCTGGTCCCATACTGTTTATTCAGGCAATACCCTAGCAGAAATCTGTGAGAATTTAATAAATGTACAGAGTAGTGTCCAGAATGAAAGTCCTGGTGCTCATGTTTTCATGGGTCACTCATTCCTCTGTAGGGGAATGGATGGCAGTGGCGTGAGTGTTTTAATGCTGGTTATGGCAGCATTGAAGGTGCACTGGGGACAGGTGGTACAATTTAACTTAAAGGTGGCAAATTCACTACTGGTGATGGAAAAGCTCGTCTGTTTTATTAACTTTGCTGGGGGAGTGTGAATAGTTGCATGTAACTTGCTGTGACCAGAGTCTAAATAGTTTCATGTGAAAGCAATTACGGTCCAAATTAACTACTAATGCTCATCAGCTGTCATCTGACTTGTCTCCTACTAATGTGTAACACTTCAGTCTTGGGCAGTAGGGCGGCCTAATTTCCAATACAGATGCACAGGTTTCTGGGGGAGGGAAAGGTGTTCTGGATATTGTAAAGGAAACACTGTTATGTTTTATACATGACATTCAATACTGTCTGCTTAGGCTGTATTTGTAAAGATAGAAGTTCATCGTTTCATGTTCCTGAGTGGATAACCCAGGGGAATGGAGGAGTTACACTATGTACAATTAATGTTTATGATCATACAAAGCATGTTGATTATAAAAATAATGTGCATAGGAATTCCTTTAAAAGTTTTGTGCAATAAACTATTTTTGGTAAAGGGCTCCATGTTGGTTTTACTTTTAAAGAGAGACTGATATCATGAAAAAAACCCTGAAATGCAACACAGCTGTAGTTGATTGTGCTTTTATTTCCATTACATTTCCTTTTTCACATCAGGAAAGAAGCATCATCAGCATTATCCATGCTAACAGCTGAAGTTTGAGTGTACAAAATGGAACGATGCAGAAACATCATCTTGATTCTATATTAGCCGATTGCTGTGATGGGGAGAGAAGTGGCTCCTAACGCTGGACAGTGTGAGTTAAGGGGATGGTGTCAGCCTCTCCCTCGAGGCCTGGCATGTGCTGGCTGATGGCACAGGTGGCTGTGTGGGTAAGCTGATGATGATGTACCTCAAGGGAGGGTGAGTTTAGATGTGTGAGGGGTTTGTTTCCTTCTAACGAACCAGGGCCTTCCCTCCTCATGGGCGGCATTTTGAGTTTCAACTTTAATTAAAAGTATCATCCTGACAGCACCTAGCATTTTTCTGCCCTGCAAAGGGAAGTTTTGAATCTCGATAAACACTGTTAGTTGTAAATATATGTATATTTGCAATATATGTGTATTTACAGCTACATTTGCCAATACTTTGGCGGAGGGAGGGAGGTGCTGAGACGTTGTCGACTCCTGCGTTCCTCAAGGCATCTCTCCGAACAGTATCGGCGGCCCCCCCTGCCCGGAGCCCCCCCACCCCGACACCCGCTTTTTCCCCGCGAACACCCCCCGGCGGCGGCCGTTGCTCTCCCGGGACGAGCGGCGGGCGGGGCGGGGCGGCGGCGCTTTTCCGTCAGGCAGCGTGTCGGGCAGCCCCGGCTCCGGGCGGGGCGGGGTCCTGCGGGGCTGGGGCGGGGCGGG